ATAAAATGATACGTGCCGTTCATAGAGTATTGCCAGGCTTGTAAAGGAGAATAGTTTGTGCTTGCAGGTATGGAATGCTTTAGACTTCGAATACAGCACACCTTGACTCAGAGTGAGACCACATTAATGCAATAATGAATCCACTTGATGGAGCTCAGTCTACGGCAAATAGTTCATGGACAACGAACAAAACTTGTCATGTCCGTGTCAAAAAATATCCACTCGAAGCATCATGGAACACTTGGCCTGGCTGTATGGAAGGAAACTAACCCACGCAAAGCAATATCAGCGAGATGAGTAGACTATACAAATTTAGATTTATCATGTCAATGATTTAAATAAGTATCATGGAATGAACTATTGGGGCAACCTGGTACACATCGGCATGAACTATCATATGATGTTGAAATGACCACCTGGTCTAGTAGCAATGCGATACCGAAGATCAAGTCTCATATGGAGTTGGAAACAAACATCCGTGAGATCCAGTGGACAGACAGCCTTGCAGAATGATAAGGTCTTAGAGTACCACGACATGTTTCGCGTTACGAAGCTAAAGAAATTTCCCGAACTCACGTGAATAACGGCATGTGGTGCCAGTGGGAAGTTGGTCAATTGTGTATTCTCTTCATCCAGCGCTTGAATATCGATTGATTGTTGGTTGTTGATCCACAGGGTGAGTTTTTGATCTGACGAAGGGATACCGGTCACGGGTACAAGTTTGGATTTCAGTTGACCAATGGACCAGGATGGGGTAATACGACGCTCTGATCCGGAGTTCTCTGATTTAACAATCATGGGGATATCCCCTGCTGTCTGCATATTCATGGTTGTTTGAAATTCTGAGGGATGTGGTGTGTGATGTGTGGTATGTAAGTATGTAAGTATGTAGGTAGGTATGTAAGGCGTATGTCAACGGATGAGGCTTCGAATGTTGAAATTTTCCGATGTTAAGGCGACAAGGGAAAAGTTGATGTTGGGTAAGGTTTAAGGTACACAGTACCGTTACACAATTCAAATGAAGCGAATCTGCGAGAAACCTCAAGGTTTATCGGTAGATTCTGATTGGGAATAGATAATTCCCCAATAATAATTTCCTATCGATAAAGAATTGGAAATGGAAGGAATTTTCGAATGATCACTGGCAGATCCACAGGACAAGGACAGGGCAGGGCAGAGCAGGGCAGGCCAGTACGTACAGTAGACGTTTTTATTTCTTTCCTTTTCTGACCTTGAAATAGAAATATATCCCAGTTGACGGATCTCTGCAGTTACCAGGGACAGACGTGTGCCAGTGTGCCAGTGTGCCAGTATGCCAATGTGCCAACTTCCAAGTTTACCTATTTACCTGGGTGGTATGCTATGTCTACCAGGTTCTGACTGAAGGCGGGGTGACTTTGTGGCAGATGGGTGGGCAACGGCCAACGGCAATCGTTCTCGTATAGCAATTGATCTGTTGAGAAGATTCGGTGAGAGCTTCGATGGAGAACCTTTGATGGAGAAACTGAAAACAGATTATGGAGACGGATGAGGTGTCACTGATACTTTTCTTGGTCAAAATACGACGTTAATGGGTCAAGAAGGATGAAGATGAGGCAAATTGATCCATTAAGTTGTTGTTCGTCAATTCGACCCATATAAAACTGGAAACTGGAAACTGGAAGCAGTGGAAGCTTTGGTGGGATGTTTATTATTCAGAAAACTCACCAGCCACAACTTCTTCAATGACCCCAGTTTTAAATTGACAGTTTCAATCCGAAATGGGACGGCGACATGGAGTGAGTGCTAGGCTTGGTTAAGCTTACATGAACAAAAAGATTTTAGGAAGGAACATGTATTTCTGCAATATATCATGTACGATGTACAATGTAAGTCTTACGATGTATGGAGTATATTGTTCAGGTTGAACACATCACACATTCGAAAAGAGGAGTGAAGATAAGGAAGGCAGGCACAGGAAATAAGCACCTTCTAGGTAATCATCTACGTCGCCTACTCCGTCTATCACCTGCAGAGTAGGATAGGTACTAGGTAGGTACATTAATTCTCCCATGAAAATATATTCCATGTCTACCAAACGCACTTGCATATGAAGATTCGGTTGGTTAATCGAGTTTATTAATCGAGTTTAATCGAGGTTACCCAATCTGATGGAAATTCTCTTCTTCTATTATTACTTCTCTCAAACTCTTCTACATACCCACCTATTAATCCTAATTTTTATCAATCAAGAAATAGGACAAGATTGATCAATTTCCAAATATCTTCGTCAACAACATCTTAGTGGTATTTTTTAAAGGTTCATCCATCCATGAACTGATACATCTTCTTTCTCTCAAACTTTACATCCTAGCACTTTCTTCCATCCCCCACACAATTGGAAGAATCATCATAATTATAAGACTCACTACTCCGTACATGGAAAAGTCAATAAAGTCGATGATCTAGAAGTCTCAATTGCAAAGGACCGTGAACTGCAATTGATCGTTGGGTTAACTTATTATAGTATAACAAGGCGAACTGATCCAATTACGAATGATAAAGTAAGGTTAGCTAGGTATGGATTATGGTTATGGATTATGGATTTTACTTTATCGCAAGGCTCAAACTTGATGAAAATTGTGGGTAGAAAAGAGGATCAGGAGAAGATCTCTAACAGTTCGTGTCCCAATTGGCTGGCTAACTTTTCGTTTGTAGTCTGACTTGTTAAGTGATTTGTTCAGTAGTAAGTAACTTTAAGAGGATTGAATTATTATACCAAAACTGTCCACTCCCACATCATCATCTTCCCATGGAGCAAATCGGAGAAAAAGAGGACACGGGAACTCAGCATGAAATAATTTTGGACCCTGCGTTGAATGTGTTCAATCATCAATGAGAGTTTATCCTCGAACTCTTTTCGGCGCCATTTATTCCTTTCCAAGATTACGACAGAGTCTATAGTTAGTATGATTGTTCTTGTCTGGGACTGCATGGCATACGATACTACACCGCTCAAACGGACATGGGCTTGGGGTTGGTTCCTTTTCTGAGACGTAAGTTCTTTTCCATGGCCCTGGCCCTGTATGCGCCACTCTCCGAAGTGCCACGCGACTTGCATCGTTGCATCTTTGCATCTTTGCATCTTTAACCTTACTTACATCTTTGCATCTCTGATCATATCGAGCCAAGTGAAAGCTAATCTCCAGCTGTATCTACGGAGTACTTTTTGACTTTGCTTTGCGTGGTTCGCAAGATCTCTCTCCTCACCCAGCACCCCACAATTGATCGGTCTCTATTCCATTCGGGACGAGGGAGCGATGAACACGATAGTAGCTGTTCCTTACTAAGCCTGCTCAATTGGGAAATTCTACACCGACGACTAGGGAAAACTCATGATGAGATCATGCTTTCATGGCATAACATCGGCAGCTAGCCGAACCAACGCTTAAAAAATAACCCACCTATACTTTGTGCATGAGGCAATTAATACTAATTTTGGCAGCCGCCTTACTCAGGCCTCCATGAATGCTGGATGCTGAATGCTGAATGCAGATTGCAGAATGCAGAACTCTACTTTCACACAACAATGACCATTGTAAATGGAATCCAAACGGGCACAGCTACATGACGGATATCCGCAGAATATGTATCCTTTCTGAGACACCGCAATCAACAATGACAGCACAGCTTTGCTATTGTTGTCAAATCTTGCTAAGCATGCTAATGCACGCAATGGGCGACGCTTGCTTTGGGGCGCCATCTTCCAAGACCGTGCGACAACCACAATTTGCTACTCTCGTCCGATCTGACAACTTTATACTTTTTCGAGGCTAGGTGACAGCTAAAAGCGTCTACTTGGCTTTCACCGCCCCCATCTTCCCGAATGAGAATCATGAGATTAATCAGGGCTGAACCCGAACTGCAGAAAGCTTTGATTGAGCGCTCGCCGTGTATGCCATTTGAGGTGTTGGTCATTTAGGCTTTGGGCTACGTTCATGGATACCATGTTTCCGAAAGTTCTGAAAAGAAAAAAAAGTTTCAATGACTCAAACCGTCTACACGATCATGGCGCCGTCTCACATGACTATACGAATTTACACCGCCAGATGTAGGTATCCGAAGGCTCTATTGAAGGCAAGAGACTGGGGATGCAACTGTGCCCATTGTAATGGCTAGCGACAGAGATGCAAACGGAGATCGAACAGCGCAGCATATTTCTCCTGCTTGGGCATCAAGGATTATACTTTGGATGAGGCACAGCCGACCTAAACGGTCGCGCAAGGGTTATTTTCAGCCACCAGCGACCCAATTGAAAGGAATTTTTATTCTATGTGGCTTGCTTAAATTTCTTCGGTTTTTTCGGCTTCCTCGCCCCACGGAAGATCGTGGTTCATCGAGGACTAAGAAGCGCTGCAAGCCATGAAGATCATACATTATAATCCTTGAATCAGAGTTGTCCACTACCCTTGCAAAATCAGACCGCCAATTCCCTCTTTTTAGACGTCAATCTCAGATCTACAATGTCTATTCATTGAGGCAGCGTCTAGTAATCGAGATGAAATCATGAACTTTTTCATTGCTGCAGCATTCAAAGCCTTCTCCTATTGTGTAATTTGGTGAACTGCAGATAATTACAATCAAAGTCAAGTTCGATCAGGTTGCGCACAGACATGTGTCTAAAACAACCTCGAGGGATCTAAGGAGTATAAATCTGTTTCAAACGCCAGCTCCCAAGTTTCAACTGTTCTTCTACGACTTCTAAACAATGGAGACACTAGAATGCAACCATTCTGGAAGCATGATTATGCTCACGTTCATGTTCATGCATGAATTCGTGGCCTGCCTTCCTCCACACTAGCATACCCTGGCTGGCCGCCCCCCACCACCAAGGGCTCTATTTGCATTGCGCATGCTCCCGACCTACCGTCTAGCACCCAACCTAGTCATTCCTTGTGGGGATCAGTTCGAACAATGCCCTTGTCTTTGAACAAGCTTCATTAGCAAACTTGACGTATTGTTCCGTTGGCGTTGGCTTTTGCTCTTTCCCTTTCCATCTCATCTACCGCGATTGGCCGCATCCAATGATATATTTTTGCCAATTAGGTTTATGGCTATTGGATCTTACGCGAGCCACGCCTTCCCTCTACTTCGAAGGCCTGAAATAGGATCGTGGTCCTCCCGTCAGAAGTGGTCTCAAGATAGTCCTTCCCGAACAATCCAAGCCATCACGCCTTGAAGAACAATCTAGCCTGTTTCACGCCATCATATTACTCATATCTATCAAAAGTGTTGTTGTCTCTTTTCAGATATTCTTTTCCCATCAACAAACTACTCCAGGGACGAATCTTATCAACAAGTTCGAATTGTCGGACCTCGTGTCAAAATTTAATGATCTACAGAACCGAAAGCAACACAGAAACAAACCGTGCACCACTTCTTCGCAGATCATCCGTCGACCTTGACGGTATCAGGGACTTCGTCATCACCGTGGATATCTCCCTTCTCCTCAAGGACGCGGACTCTAATGAGTCCCCGACCGCATCACCACCCGACAGAAATCAAACAAGATCCGCATCTGTTCAGTCATCAATCGCACAACAAGACTTACCAATCTACGCTGCTGCCATCTCTGGCTCAGGGGGAAAAAGAAGTATGGGTGCCCATCCATCAGAGTCTCCAGCTAAGAAGCAGAGTAAATGGTCGGCCGACGAAGATGCTTTGATCATCGATCTAAGGGGCAGTGGAATGAAGTGGGAGGACATCTCTAAGAGATTACCGGGTCGCAGTGCCATTAGTTGTCGGTTACATTATCAAAACTACCTGGAACGTAGGAGTGAATGGGATGAAGAACGAAAGAACAAGCTCGCCAGACTTTACGAAAGGTATGATTTCTTCCAAAATTGGACTCGAGAAAGAATGTTATTGACATCACTATCTAGATTCAAACAAGAGATGTGGTCAAAAGTAGCCGAGGAAATGGCAGTACCATGGCGAGCAGCAGAAGCTATGCACTGGCAACTTGGCGAAAATGATATGGCAAGACGTGCAGGTGTTGTCCCGTTCTCATTATCTAGCGTAACTCTCGATGCACCATCATCTGGTTCAAGAGCTTCACCAGTGAGAGGACATTCCTACAGCCAATCCACATCTAGCACAATGGGTTCAGGATCTACTGGCGGTAGATACAGCCGACCCGGAACTGCACAAGGCAACCCAAATCCGAGAGGAGGCACTCGCACAATCGCCGCAAGAAGAGAAAGCACCCCCAGATCCGTCCCACCTACCAGCCCATCCGATGGTCTAGCATTAGCTGCCATCGGGGGTGGAATAAACATGATGGGACCAGGAAGAGGTGGCCAATATCTACCAAGCCTGGTGGAGATGACCACGGGTGTCAGCCCGTATAGCACACCTGCCTATGCAATGTCGACGCCGGCGCACTCGAGTGGATATTCGAGTGGCTACCCAAGCCCAGGACCACTTTTACCCGCGATTGGAATGATGGGTCACCGACCTGAAGCGAAGCGAAGAGGAAGCCCCGAAACTAGCTCGAGGGATTCGTCGAGGAGGAGACAGTGAGCTTGACAAGGACAAGCACAATTCAACATCAATCAAATTATTCAAATAGAACTTTATGTGGAATGAAGGAAACGTGTGCAAACGCGATTGGCGCTTGGGAAAAAGTTAATTTTTTTTTTTTTTTTTTTTTTTTACTTTGTTTTGGGTTGCTATGGTATGGATGGGATGGTATGGGATGACCATGGGTTGTGGTGAGCATATGTGGGTGGGCTTTGCATTTTGGGATGGCGCGGTGATTTAAAATGTGTGCGTGAGCTTTCCCCCTGGCTTGGGCTGCGTAGGGTTTTGATGGATTGAATTGGATTAAGATAAGATAGGAGGATGAGATGGGGTAGCGTAGCACGCATTGCTTGCAGGCATGCATGGTGCTTGAAACTATATCTTCTAGATTGTATTATGATGTTTGTATCTTTTATACTCTTGTAATTTGCCTTTATGATTGCTACATGTATATATGTCTTTTATGTCTGTATTTATTTATCTTTACATGGAAATATTTCCTGTTCTGTATTTCTTGATATGTCTTCTGAGTTCAGCAGACATTAATAGTGGTGTACCAGCAGTCAGGTTCCTGTGATGCAGTAATGTAATAGTATAGACTGAAGTGCTAATCCTTGGCTGGCGTCGTCTTGGAAGAAGCGGGTATTAACCTCCCGGTCGATTTCGTACTACACTGGCGCCTACCTCCGACTCGGGTCCTGTCACCTGCTACTTGCTTTATGGATAGAAGATTTTGCATGTATGCATGTATGTATGCCTGCATGCACCATCATGCATCAAAGCAGTATATCCTACATGATATTCATCTAGGGGCTCGGGACCATCCCGAGTTCTTGCTCATCTCCTGTATGCACAATGCGCATCCACAATGTTAACATCACATTCACCCGCTTGCATCGCCCCTCGAACAAATAGCCCACCAATTATCCTTTTCGTATCCACTTTCTACCACTACGCCTCCTACGGATCTAATATCCTCCTCTAGTTCACCGGCCCGATACAAATGGTAATAACGTTGAAATGTCTTTTCCGAAGCCGGTTGTGCAACACTTCCATCGGCAGCTATCTTTTTGCCCGTGCGCATGACCCAGGGTACCATGACATCTTGGGGATTTGTGGAGTCCCAGCCGCGACGGGAGAATGATTGCTCCAGTGCCCAGACATAGATTAGTGCTTTTCCCGAGGAGGGAGATAGCGTAGCGAGAATAGAGGATACGGCCTCGCGGCGACGAGGAGGGGTAGATAGATGGTGGATCACTGCTATGCTGATTGCGAAATCGAATTTTCCCTCTGGGTGTGGTAATGCTAGTGTATCGGCTACAATAGCAGAGTGTGGTTGATGCGCGCTAGCTATTTTAGCTAGGTTTGTAGAGCGGTCCGAGCCGATGATGAAGATGTCCGGGTTTACGAGGAGATATTTTCCATTGCCGCAGCCGATGTCGAGGCCGATGGATCCAGGGGGGAGGGTTTGGAGGAAGGTTTTTACGATGGGCCAGGCTTTGTAGCGGGTGGAGGAGAAGTGGGAGGCGATTTGTTCGTAGACTGCGTGCACGTTTTGTTCTTCGTAGTTTTCGGGGATGCTGGGGGGAGAGTCTATAGGTGTGGATTCGGGTGCGGATTTGGGTAGGGGGACTTTTGGGTGGGATGAATCGGAGTGGGATTCTTCGGGGATTGGTTGGGTTGCCATGGTTTGAGAGGGGGGATTGGTCTCGTGACTGGAGTTGGGTTAGGTCTGATGTTGGTGTTGATGTTTGATGAGTAGTGTATGTATGTGTATCCCCTTTTTGACAAATGAAAGTCTCGACCTCGTGATTAGAAGTAGGTGTATGTTATGTGACGTGATGAGGAACTTTTGGTATATGAGGGGCAGAGATTTATCTTTCTCCCAGTTTGAAAGTGATGAGTAATAAAACAGATGTTAAGAGGTTACTTTAAGGTTTTAATGTTTCTCCTCAAGCGCTGCTGTCCAAGACAAGGTCTTAAATGGGCGAATGCTACTGTGATATAATTTTTGCACTTGCAGCGGGGAAGTAATGTGCACCGATCAGGTTAGCGGGATTAGATTTGATTTAGATTAGATAAGAAAAGAAAAGAAAATCGCAAAGTTATTCTTCGAGTGCACAGATCGTTTCTTGGTGTGTGGGATGATGCGCATGAAAAAAAATATTCTTTTTTTTTTGAAATTCAGACCTCACTTCAACACATGTCTCGACCAGAAGGAAGATATAACGACAGCCATACAATCATTTTATTACCAAGGAACCAACTAGAAAACTCCCGATATTAGGACTGTTTTATTATAAGCCAAAGAATATCCACGCAACCGAATTCAATCGCACATTCTCCTTGAACGGAATACGACTTCCTGCTCCAGACTCGATGTACAGTTCGAGAATCAACGGTTTAGAGGCATCGATTAAGTTCCAACGGGAGCTCAATTTTCTTTTACAATATATACCAATCTTTACTACAAATTTGAGAGGGAGTTGAGCTAGATTGAAAGTTATTTGCTGGGAATCTCTTTTACTTGTACTTTCCTCTGCCAAATTTTACGACAGCACGCTATCAAACGAGACTTATTAGAAGCGGCATAAGGTAGTTTACCTGTTGTCAGTTAGCGAAATTGACCATTTTTGAGGTTCCATACACCAATTAAATCACTTACATTTCACTGTCATACTCTACGATTCGCGTTCGCATTGAAAAAAGATACACGACAAGCGCACTGTTGAACCTCCTTATTGTTGAAACAATCAGAACGCGTTGTACAGCCACCAACCAAGAGGACAATATAAAAATTAACATTCATAATGGCGACCAAAGTTATGAAGATGTATAAGGCACCTCCATTTCTCACCTTTGATTCTTCCAACTCTGCCGGATACAATTATACGGAAGCGTTCAAATACAATCCGCGATCATTTCTTATGAAGAACCCAAAGCAAAACAAGCTGTACGCACAATATTTCGCGCCATCGAAGATTTATCGACGACGGTTCTCGCGTGGCAGGAAAATGTCTTCTCCTGCAAGATCAGCTTCTTCGTCTTCCAGTTCTTCTACAAATGGTTCAAAGTCATCTGTTTCACCACCACCAACAAGGCCTTCTGATCACCATCCTTCGGCAAAGTCTAATCCACGTTCAAGGATGTCTACTTCTCCTTCTGCAAAATCATCTGCTTCTCCTCCACCATCAAAGTCTTCTATTTCTTCTCCATCGGAAAAGACAGTTGATACTACTGTTCAGTTAATGACATCTAATTCTCCTCCGCCATCAGAGTTATCTGCTCCCACTCCTCATTTAGAGAATTCTGTTTGTCCTTCATTGGAAAACAAATCTGACAACACCCCTTCATTTGTTGCTTCTGCTTCGTCAAATCTACCTCTATCCTCACTTCCTCCGTGCGCCGTTTCAGCACCTTCTAAATCTCCTGGGTTATTGTCTCCTTCATCCGCTATCAAAGACGAAATCACCACGAAGCCCAAATCTTCTAATGAAGCACTTCCTGAGACGAAGAGCAACAAGATCAAGCTCAAATTCGTTGAACCATCGAAGTTTTACTCTGCTAAAAATGAAAACTCCACTACTAAATGTAGTTCTCCGAAGAGATCACGACCAGATGATGAGGATGATGAAACTGCTTCTAAAATGGGATCACCAAAGAAGCGACGACTTAATCCCAAGGCCTCAAAAGTCCCTGCCCAGACAGCTATCCCCTCCAAGCCGGGTGCAAAACCCTCGAAGGAGGAATTGGAGAAGATACGCAGTGATTCGCTGAAGAAACGAAGATATTTGGTAAGCCAATTCCTTTTTTTACTAGCATAAATACTCATATATCTCTAGGCCTCGAAAGTACGAAAAGACTCAACCCGCATGCCAACAGCTGCCCAGAGGGGATTGGCCAATGTTACTGGATATGCATGCTACAGAAACAGTTTATTACAAGGTCTTTTCCATCTTCCCAAATTCTTCAATTTTTTGATTGACCAACATCCTGTGGACACTTGTAAGTTATTCCCAATCTGAATTATTTTTTCATTCTCTTTGGTTATTCATTGGCTGACAAATTTCGCCAGGCAATATACCTAGAAAAGATTGCTTGGCCTGCGCTCTTTGCCACTTGTCTTCGAAATACTGGACTGTTGGCTTTCCTGCCAAGGAGATCACAATCATGCTGCGAAGACTCGAGGTCCAGTGCAAGCGTCTTGGGTGGTATCCTGGACCCTCTGGGCAAGGTGATCCTCATGAGCAAATTACCTGGATGTTGGAAAAGATCGACAAACAGATGAAGGCTTCGTAAGTCTACATTTTCTTTTCGTCGGTTACATAGAACATGACGCTGACTTTTGATCCAGGAGCGTTGCCAGTATGCAGTCAATAATGCAGCTTGTTCTAAGCAGCAGAATCACATGCGATAAATGCCACAATGTCTCAGTGGGAGACTTACAAGATGAACTAGCCTTGTCCGTACCTCTCAAACCGCGTATCCGAGGTGGTTCTCTTTCCTCGTACTTGCATAAATACTTGGATGAGACGATCGAAGGTTACAGGTGCGAGAAGTGTAAGAAGGTAGGGGACGTTCATCGTGTACAGTCGATCAGTCACGCACCAGATATCTTGTTCGTTCAGCTTAAACGGTTTGGTTATGATGGCAGAAAGGATAAGCTTACGCTTCCCATCGACCATACCCTTGACCTCAGTCCTTATCGCGACCCTAGTGGAAGCAAGGACTCCATGGAGTACGAGCTCGTAGCGTCTGTTTCGCATTCTGGCAGTCTCGACTATGGACATTACATCTGTGATGCTCGTGGACCCGATGGTCGCTGGAATTGCTTCAATGATGCATATTACGACCCTACGACTCTGGCAAAGGCTCTGGGGAGTAATCAACCATATTTGCTATTCTACCAACGCAAGTAGAGCTAATTGCCTATCTGAGGTCGTATGCTAGCCACTATTGAGTGTGCTAGATCCCTCTAAGTTTGTTGTTTGATTAGAAAACATCAGTTCTTGGTTGTGTGCGAGTTGTCATTTTGTTGGCTTGGGTGTCCCTGCCTCAAGCCTTCGTACTGATGAGAAAGAGACGGTGGTGTGCGCTAGGATTTATGTATCAGGTGAATTGTTGGATTTGTTTTCTGTGGTTCTGGATTTTTGTTTTTGTGGAGTTTGGATATGGATATGGGTTTGGATAGAGAGAATAGGATTTCTTCTCTGTGAGTTTGGTGTGGGACTGGGCGTGGGCGTTTGTGTCGGACGATACCAACTTGTTTCTTTCTACTTTATCATATGATTACAATGAATATGATGGAATTATTAGGCTTTTATTATTATTTATATGTTTATGATTTTATGGACTTGTGACCTGTGATTTGTCGTTTGTAAGTTCTACTTGATTTGGTAAGACTTATAATCTTCCCCTTTGCCTTTGACAGAAGCCAGCCCGTAAAATATAATCTTACAAAAACCCAAATTATTTCTAATATAAATACAATACGAAATCATGTCCAAAATAAACTCATGCTTTTGTTTAATACTTGATACTTAATACTAAGAGTCCGGAAGTGAGGTTTTCGTATCGATTGGTAGGAGGTAGAGTGTAGGAGGTAGGGAAGTGTAGGGAGTAAGAAAGTGTAGGGAGTAAGAAAGTGTAGGGAGTATAATGAGTAAGTTACTTGGAGTTTGTTAAGAAGGGAAAGTGGAAGTGGAAATGGAGTGGTGAGTTTATATTTTGTGTTTTTTTATGAGTTCTGAGTTCTGTGTAAGAGCTTTTGTGTGTATAGATTTTAATTTTGGCTGAGATATAAGAAGTATAAAAACATAAGATATGGATATGAGGTATACGAAGCAGACATTAGAAGGTTAGGGACAGGGCAAAAGGGTAGATAATCTCTAAGGATTCGATGTTTATATTTTGTGTTCTCTTTATCGTTTCACAAGATTATAATTTCGGGGGAAAGATGTAACGATACTGTACTGGAGGCAGCGGCTGCCTAAGGTTCGTCTGGTTGGTAGTTGTGGATTAAGGCTATATCACTGGTATTCACTTGGAAGTGAAGTCGTTACTAGATCAAGTAGAATGTAGGTAAACTAATTGATAACTAAGTTGAGCACGAAGCTCCTATACTATGAAACTACTCTGACTATATACCTATGGAAAAAGGGAGCCCCTAGGAGCTTTGAGGGCTTCTAGGGCTTCATCACGTGACTCCTATCTGCCTCAGGACACTAATCCTGGGACGATTACTATCCTAGGACGCATACTATCCTAGCTCTCCCTGATCTCCCAGAACACTTGTCCTGTTCCATTGTGGTTGCCTAGAACACTTGTCCTAGGATTCCTGGGTTCCTTATCGCAGGCGATAAGGAATCCCCTGTAAACCGCGGTTAAATCACACTCCCCCTGTAATCGGTAGCTAAATCACCGACACTCATTATACTACTATAATCTGAACCGTGATTCGTGACAAAAGAATCACCAGGTAGGTGGATTAGAAGTGGGTTTTTGTCATGATTCACCATTGGATTAGTGTCCGGGATAAAAAGAAATCACGTGATAAGGAGCCCTAGGAGCCCTCAAAGCTCCTAGGGGCTCCCTTTTTCCATAGGTATATAGTCAGAGTAGTTTCATAGTATAGGAGCTTCGTGCTCAACTTAGTTATCAATTAGTTTACCTACATTCTACTTGATCTAGTAACGACTTCACTTCCAAGTGAATACCAGTGATATAGCCTTAATCCACAACTACCAACCAGACGAACCTTAGGCAGCCGCTGCCTCCAGTACAGTATCGTTACAGTTTTATAGCTAGAATATAAGTCTAGTACTCTATTTTCTGACTACCTCTAATTCCGGCCAACTTTTAACACCAAAAATCGTGATTTTCATTTATTAATCATTTTACAATTAATAAATAAAATTTGATGAAATTTGAATTATGGGTTTCTTATATAGATATTAATGAATCCTGAAACTTTCTGTTATGGCGGCGTAACATAGACCGCATCAGGTGACCGATTAGTTGACGGGATCATGTGACTAGTGTCACCTGATCCGAAAGCCGACCGACTTCGTAGGAATCGATCGGCCCTTCAAGAGTCGATCGACTTTCGGAACACGAAGGTCTATATAATCAAGATGGATTTCCTTTGTATAGAGCTTCATGCTCAAGATCAATCATTTAGTATACTCTACTATTAGTTACGAATTGCATTGTCATTACTTTAAATCCCTGCTTGACGCTTAGTTATAAACCACCTCGAGAGCCTAGAGCGCTTCCACGTGATCTAGACGGCAAACCTCGTAACAGGATGGCCGGAAAGTAGGGTACTAGATTTACATCCAATAGGGAATACAGATGTGAATGGTGGAGGATGGGGGATCGACGAATGTTGATTGTTAACTAGGGTATATTCAATACAACGACGCCATATCTACCTAATACAGCCAGCTAGTTATGCCATCACCTACAAGCATCTCCATATCAACCTCCATCAACAACTACATCTACATGAAAATTACAACCCATTGATACCATTAGTATCATTAGTATTTTGAGCCGACGACTCCATTCTCGCCACCAATTTCTTGACATTCGCCCATTCCTCGCTCCGGGCACTATCTTTACCCCCAAGATCTGGACCTACTTCAAATACCGAGAGCATGCCATCAATACCACCAGTTGCGATACGTTTTCCCTCGGTTTGTTCCCATGCTACACGATTCAAACTCTTGGACATGATGCTTCGACCACCTTTTCGACCGCTAGGTTGGACTTTAGACACGGGAACTTCGGTGTCGACGGTTATGTCCCAGACTTCTAGGTTCCCTGCTCCATCTACAAGTGAGAATACACCAGGTTTGATAGGTGACCAGGCTGCATCGTAGACAAGATCTTCTCGCGTAAAGTCAAATAATGGAGCCACTATCTGACCTTCTCCTGTGATGGCAGTAGTTGCTGTTGCGGTTGGGGCTCGGACTTTCCACAATTTGACACTCCAATCCAAGGAACTGGTTAGAAGAAGGTCGCCGAGATCAACAGGACCCTTTGCTGGATGAAAACTTAAAGACATGACTGGAGCTGCATGACCACGGTAACTGACTCTTTGGTCAACACCTGCCTTTGCGCCTGCTCGATCATATCGATGACAAGAATACACGGTTCCTTCTTCCGAACCAACGAGGAAGTATGTCGGGTCTGTTTGTGGGAAAGCCATGCAAGTTGGACTCATATCTTCAGTTTTTGCCGGAGGTGGCGTTGTTAATGTAAGTAGCTCTTGTGGTTGCGCAAGCATATCTACTGTCCATCCGCACATAACACCGTCCGTTGAGCATGATATAATATTATTTGCGTTTTGCGTTCCTACAATATCGACAGAGTAGACTGGATGGGTATGCCCTGATCCAGTTAAAGGCGTCTTTTGAACTGGTGCCGATTTTGCTCTTGTGTCCCAAAGTAAAACTTGACCACTGTAAGCACCTCCAACGATCAAATTGGGATGGAAAGGAGAGAATTTTGCGGCAAGGATATCCGATTGTGCATGAAAGACAAATTCCGGCCTATCGTGAAGATGCATATTCCAGACTTGAACCAGTCCGTCTGGATCATGTGGTGCCGAAGGATTCTTTGTATAAGCTGCAAGAACGAGCTCTGGAAATTTAGGTGAGAAATTGATGGCGCTAATCATCCTCTTCTTTGACCATCGTTCATCATAAAATTGGGCAACCTCCTTTATCTTCCTCCTACCCTTTCCACCTGTATTACCATATTCATCGTCATCTCCAACTCCATTTGCGCCACTCAACCCATAATCTGCAAGTACATCGTATTCCTGATCTAATGCTCTCTCAATAACCTTACTTGATCTTTCAACAAAGTCCATAAATTCTTCAGACGACGTCACAGCATTGAGCTCCTCATTTGTCAAGATTCTCGCGGGAAAATTTGCTGTTGATAAATGCTGGGAATCTGGTCTTATAGGGCCATCCACAAGGTCTCGGGTTGCCTTAAGCTCTTCCTCGATTTCTCGGCGAATGTTCTCTCTTAGTTCTTCCTCTCGATTCTTCTCCCTTCTGCTTAGTCGTTTGCTTGGTGACTGTACCCCAGTTGGCCTGTCAAGCTCATCGTCGGAATCCTCAAACGCTCGGGGCTTCGAGGTTTGTGTTCCCCATTCCTCTGTTGTTTGTACCCCTTTACTATATGAAAATACCTCCTTAACAGGAGATGGTGGGAATTCATAGACTGTAGACAATGGAACCGTAGAGAGGGACTGTGGGGTCGATATGGATAAGTGTTGAGTCTGCGAGACTTGGGCATTCGATGGGCTCGATTCGGACGGCGCATTACTTAGTTCACCGGCACTTAATACACTGTTTGGTCGACTGCCTCTCGCCGGTGATCCTGCTCCGCCGGGACCAGTTGATGCAGGTCTACTATCTCCAACTAGACTGGAAATTAGACTGTCAAGTTCCCTTCGATTATCGGCTCGTCCTGGTGTAGGGGATGCAAGCTATGGCTTGTAAGTTTGATTCAGGTGGTAGGGTGGCTTTAATTACATCACTTCCACTTCCTATACTCTGCCTGCTTGCCGAAACTTCTCTTGCACGGAGTTCTCTCTGCCTCTTTAACTCTGCGAGCTTGGCTTTCTTCGCCAGAATTTCATCTCGTCGCTGTTGCATTTTGCAGGAGTTCTATGCCCATTCCATGGGCAGACACCTTTATTTTACCGCAATATTGTGTTGTTGAGATTAGTTAAAGCTCAGAGGTGGTATTATAATATTCCAGATATGTATGAAATCAAGTATGAAGTTGTGTTATTAGAATCCAAACAAACAAGTAAACACGCATGATTGAAGTCGCGTTTGTTAAGATGCGCATATTGTAATTTGGATATCACGTGGGGTTTGGTCCCGCAAAATGCCGCTGAAGCTTGCTCGCGATATTTCATCCGACCACCTTGAAAAAGTTTATCGCCGACATCAATCACTCTACCTGCTCTTCGTTGTGATACCAAGTTCAATTGGTATTTGTTAAGCCATTACTCTCCTCACTATACTCTCCTCGGCATATTCTCACAACTCTTCCCGATGGCTTCAACTGGGGTAAACGTACGTTTTACGATTCCGCGCATTCCTTAATCCGAAGGCTTCATTTCAACTTGAAATTTATCTCCGCAAGTTCACTGTTCAGAAATATGCTAATATGTATTCTTTACAGGTTCTGCGGTGGTCAGCCCTAGGCGCGGGTGTATTCTATGGATTTTACCATCAAATGAGCATATCTTCTGCAACGAAGACAGCAGCAGCACACAGAGAATTCGAGCACAAGCAAAAGTTGATTGAGCAAGCCAAAGCAGAGTACGCAAAGAAGAACTTACCTGCGAGCAAGAAAACAGGAGGCGATGACAGTACGTGGACTGCTTTCATACCTCAACCTCTACCACACCTTCCGATATCCGCAATCGAATGATTATTCAATCTTTTTCGATATCTCTCGTCAAAACTCTTACGTACAGCATTGCTAATATTCAAGTAGTTATACGGGATCCTATGGACAAGAATTTTGATCTTGAGGCATACTTGAAGGTTCTAGCAGCAGAGAACTAGGGGTATTTTGGCGAATTGGGGGGATAATTTATGGGTAATGATAGAGGTGCATCGCTGAATGAAAACCATTCGTGGTAGTTGATATGGGATCCAGCGATGTTTGGAGAGGGTTTCTAGGGTTTGTTCAAACACACAAAAGCCTTTAGACGTCACTCAGGTGATACTTCTTGTACATTGTACTATAGACGACCAATACAGCTGGGAGCTTCTGTTGTCGGAGACCCAATTTTACCTACAAGAGAACCACAGAAGGAGTTGCGTACGCTTCAAATCTGTTGTAGGAACATAAAATACTTCCATACTGCTTTGTATTCACAGGAATGGGATTAGTGGGAAAAGTATATTTTTCCCTTAGTTAGCCAAGCCACCAAAGACATATATATCAAGCCACTTTCCAAACCTAGCAATCACTCATCCGGAACATCAGCTGCATCTATTGATTTCTTGGAATAGAGTAATAACCATAGAAAGATAACATACCTAGTACACACAGTGCACAAATAGAGAATAAGCCACTCAAGGTTATTGACCCACGTGATCTTGGAACTAGCGCGGGCGGGTCAAGAATCTAATCCCTGTGAACTGACGCGGAGCTCTGAAAGTGCAGCATTGCGAACAGATATGTGTTAATCCAGTGAACCTTTCAACCAGCGACAACTTTCCTTTTCACCACAGCTGCCATCATCATGGTTGCGAAAACTCAGGAACCGTTTTTCCAAGGGAGTACAGGGAAGAACTCTCGTGGAGTTTTAAGAATTGTAATTCTTTGCTTAATTGCCGGTGCTGCAATTGCCAGTCGATTGTTTTCTGTGATTCGTATGTATCCCAACTTTCATAAATTATTTGGAACCTCTCATCCTGCTTGGAATTGAAAGGCAAAACACTTCCGCCGTACACTCTGCCATTGACTAAATTGTCCAATGAAAGCTAATATTTATGTACAGGATTCGAGAGTATAATTCACGAATGTTAGTATCTAAGCGACCCCTCAATGGATGGAGCTCTTCCTTCTCCAGCTCCGCTCTCTGTTAATGATCGGAAACTAACCTAAGCTCAGTCGATCCTTGGTTCAATTTCAGGGCTACAAAATACTTGGTCTCGCATGGCTTCTATGATTTCTGGGATTGGTTTGATGACCGAACATGGCATCCACTTGGGCGTGTTACAGGAGGAACTTTATACCCAGGTCTCATGGTCACCAGTGGTGTAATCTACCATGCCCTTCGAGCTCTTACTATTCCAGTCGATATTCGAAACATTTGCGTGCTTCTCGCACCAGGTTTCTCTGGCTTGACTGCCTTTGCAACATACCTCTTTACCAATGAGATGTCCACATCTCCTTCCGCCGGTCTTCTCGCGGCTATTTTCATGGGAATTGCCCCAGGTTACATTTCGCGATCAGTTGCAGGCAGCTACGATAACGAAGCCATCGCAATCTTCTTACTTGTATTCACGTTCTACCTCTGGATTAAAGCCATCAAGCTCGGATCCGCATTTTGGGGTGCTCTGTGTGCTTTGTTCTATGGATACATGGTATCAGCCTGGGGTGGATATGTCTTCATTACCAATTTGATTCCTCTCCATGTATTTGTATTGGTTTGCATGGGAAGATTCAGCCCAAGAGTGTATGTCAGTTATTGTACCTGGTACGCACTAGGCACGTTGGCAAGCATGCAAATTCCCTTTGTAGGATTCTTGCCAATTCGCAGTAGTGAACATATGTCCGCTCTCGGTAAGTTTAATTGTCTGATTTTACGATATCTATGTACTAATCTGCTTAGGTGTTTTCGGCCTTCTTCAATTGGTTGGATTTGTCGAATTCGTCCGCTCCGGTGTACCAAGCAAGCAGTTCGCGACTCTCCTTAGAGGATTTGTCCTTGCCGTGTTCGCTATCTCCTTTGGTGGCTTGGTACTTCTCACCGTCTCTGGTGTTATTGCTCCTTGGACTGGCCGTTTCTACTCTTTGTGGGATACCGGATATGCCAAGACTTGCGACATCCCTATTATTGCCTCCGTCTCTGAACATCAGCCAA